ACCAAAAATTCAATGCAATTTTTTACTATTCATGTCATTGTATAACTATATCTAATACTTACGATGGAGAATGAATACAATCAAAAAAGGAAGTGAGAGACTCATGTTAAACGTTTTAATATGATTTGTTTTGGTGGATTATTTAGTATTTTTGTTTTGGTTAATTATTAATATGATTTTAATAAAATTTATATTTTGTCTGTTATAGGGGTTACCTGTGAAGAGCAAGGTTGTGATCGTTTTCAAGCATCCTACTATGTAGCTTTCTTAGAAGTTAGTGATTTCTTTACAGGTATTCTCTGTTTTTGTTTAATTTTCATAGTTTATTTTAGACTACTCAATTAGTATGGATAAAAAATGGATGTCTGCTAGTTGATTGTCAAAAGAGTATGAAAATGGGGTATTGAAATTCGTTAAGTTTGCTGTTGAACATGCCAAAGACCCCAGTAGGATCGCATGTCCTTGCTTAGGTTGCTGTTATGGACGTCGAATTGACGTTGTTCAGTTGGAATCTCATTTATTGAGACATGGAATTGATCGAAGTTACACATGTTGGACATTACATGGTGAGATAAGTAACGAGAATATTGAACCCCGGAATAATATGACATGTGCTTCAAAGGACAATGGCAGGGATACATATGATTGTGATCGAGTCGAAGAGATTGCAGAAGCACTTGAAGAAGATCTTCAAGATTGTCCCAAGATGATTGAGAGGTTGGTAAGCGATGCAGAGAAACCGTTGTATAAAGGTTGCACTAATTTCACAAGATTGTCCGCGGTATTAAAGTTGTACAACTTAAAGGCGGGTAATGGATGGTCGGATAAAAGTTTCACAGAGTTGTTAGCCCTACTTCAAAAGATGCTTCCGGAGGATAATGTTCTTCCCAATCGAACCTATGAAGCTAAAAAAATGTTATGCTCTATTGGCATGAGCTATGATAAAATACATGCTTGTCCAAATGATTGCATTTTGTTTCGAAATGAATATGCATCATTAAACGAGTGTCCTAAATGCGATGTATCTCGGTATAAGAAAAAGTTGTCACCAACAAAAGTCTTATGGTATTTTCCTATAATTCCGAGATTCATACGCATGTTTCATAGTGAAACAGACGCAAAACACTTGACTTGGCATGCAGATGATAGAATTATAGATGGGAAGTATCGACATCCAGCAGATTCACCACAGTGGATGAAAATTGATAATGATTATCCTGATTTTGGAGAAAAAGCTAGAAACCTTCGTTTGGAATTATCGACTGATGGAATGAATCCGCATGGTCTGCAGAGTATCTCACATTCCACCTGGCCTGTAATTATTATGATTTATAACCTACCTCCATGGCTATGTATGAAGCGTAAGTACATGATGTTATCTATGTTAATTTATGGCCCTAAACAACCAGGGAATGACATAGACGTATACCTGACACCTTTAATTGAAGACTTAAAGAGTTTGTGGGAGAACGGTGTGGAGGTTTATGATGGATATAGGAAAGAAAGTTTCAATTTGAGGGCGATGTTGTTTGGCAAAATTAATGATTTTCCAGCATACAGAAATCTATCGAGGTATAGCATTAAAGGTCAATGTGCGTGTCCTATCTGTGAAGAAAACACAGATTTAACGCGGTTGAAATTTGGTCAGAAGAATGTCTTTCTTGGTCATCGTAGATTCTTAAATTCTAGTCATCACTACCGTGGGTGGAGAAAAGAATTCAATGGAAATTCATAACAACGTAGAGCTCCACCTACATTGACCGGCGAACAATTTTTGAAAAGGTGAAAGATGTGAGTACTCAATTTGGCAAGCCTTTTCCACATACTATTGTCACACATGGGTGGAAGAAGAGGTCAATTTTGTTTGAGTTGCCGTATTGGAAGTCGTTGTATGTAAGACATTTTCTTGATGTTATGCATATTGAAAAAAATGTATTTGAAAGTGTTATTGGTACGTTACTCAATATACAAGGAAAGTCTAAGGACGACCTTAAAGGAAGAAAGGACTTGGTAGCAATGGGAATAAGAAATGAATTAGGACTCTTGAAGAAAGAAAATTGCACATATCTACCACCTGCTGCTTATACTTTATCTAGAAAGGAGAAAAAGATATTGTGTAAGTTTCTGAGTGAAGTTAAAATTCCAGAAGGATACTCTTCAGATATTAGAAGACTTGTTTCTATGAAAGACCTCAAGTTAAAGAGTTTAAAGACACATGATTTCCATGTTATAATGGAACACTTTCTACCAATGGATATACGTTCTATTTTGCCAGAAAAAGTGAGAGGTGCAATAACTAAATTTTGTTTTTTCTTCAGGTCAATTTGTAGTAAGGTGATCGATCCTGCGATCTTACCATCATTGCAAAAAGAATAGTTATTACTTTGTGTGAGCTTGAAATGTATTTTTCTCTATCATTTTTTGACATAATGGTACATCTAGTTGTCCATCTTGTGAAAGAGACACAATTGTGTGGACCAGCTTATATGAGAAGGATGTACCCTGTTGAACGTTATATGAAAATATTGAAAGGGTATGTGAAAAACCGAAGCCGACCAGAGGGATGTATTGTTGAACGATACATTGTTAAAGAAGCTATTGAGTTTTGTACTGAATATTTGTCCAACATTCAATCCATTGGCCTCCCAAAATCTAATGTTGTTGATAAAATAGTAGGTAAACAGTTAATTGGAAATAAAGTTGTGACAGTTTCAAGGGATGAACGGGAGCAAGTGCATTTGTATGTTCTGCACAATGACATTGAGGTTGAGTCGTATGTTGAAATGCACAAGGACGTTCTCCGATGTTTAAATCTGAATCGAAATGAAAATTGGATAGTACGTGAGCACAATCGAAGTTTTATAACATTGGAAGAAATTAAGGAGGACTGGTGTCAATTTATTCTTGAGTTGAGAATTGTATAACATATCTATTTGTAAAGTTATCGAATTTGTAATTATATGTAAATTGAATGTATTTGTGATGTTGTAAATTGAATGTATTTTTGATGTTGTAATATATTTAAGCAGGTTTATGTGTACTAAAATGGTTATGGGCAAAGTGATGAATACACATAAATAAGGCCAAAGTAATTATTATATATAAGGTCAAACTGTTGAATTAAAGGTATGAATTATAAGCAGGGAATGTAATTGTTATAAGCAGGTTTATTGAAAAATATATAAAAAATGTGATTATTAAAAAAAAAATTAAAATCGTGAATAATAGACAATGCTTTTAAAAAAAAGTGCTGCTAAAGGGGGCAAAGAGAGGCCAAAAAAGCGCTGTTATAGGTTGGAAAAGGGGGGGGTCTAAGAAAGCGCTTTAAAAAAGCGCTGCTATATGGGGGTCAAAGAAAGCGCTTTAGAAAGCGCTGCTAAAGGGGGAGGGGAAAGCGCTGCTATAGGGTGAAAAAAACGCTGCTAAAAGCGTTGCTGAAGATAGGAGAAGGGGGAATAAGCAGCGCTTTAGAAGCGCTGGTATAGGGTAACAAAAGCGCTGCTAAAAGTGTTGCTGAAGGGAGCCTTTAGCAGCGCTTTTTCCTTTAAAAAAACGCTGCCTTTACCTTTAGCAACGCCACTTTTAGCAGCGATGCTAAAGGTCTTTTTTGGCATAGTGATTGCGAATTTCAAGAGTTATTTATTTCTTCACTGGATTCACACTTTCATTATATTTATACAATGTTACACCTAACATCTTCTTGTGGCTGATTCCAAAGTCGTAAACTTTCGTTCAACAGTATCCATTATGAACTTTGGTGTCTTGATGGCTCCAAACCTCAAAATTAGGTGTTTATGATTTATGTGTTCTTTAATCTTTACGAGACATTATAGAAGTCTCACATCTTTAGATCATCTCATTTCATTTGGACAACCGTGTCACCGTCTGGTTTTAGTTGACATTGTTAAACAAATTGTTGACACCTTGGTCTACCTTCTTAAAAACCATCGTTTCAGTCTCACTTCTCATGAGAACATCAAAGAGGTTCTCTTCAAACACTCTCAAATATGATTAGTTGTTGATTTCACATTTCAGTTTGAAGATCTTATTAAGATCACATGTATTTCAAAAACATTTTCTTATTAGTTTATTTGTACTCTCTCTCTCTCTCTCTCTCTCTCTCTCTCTCTCTCTCTCATTTATAATAAATATTTTATGTGAATATTAATATATTTTGAAATAACATATTATAGATATTTAAATGGTTGAGATAACTCAATTGGTACGTGCTAGTTGACTTAAATGAGTGTAAAATATTGATTTATAGTTCAGTATTTAGCGACAATATTTATTAAAATTTACGCATTAATATAAACAAGTTGTTGTATTTTATAAATCAACAATTAAAAAAAACTATTGATATTATATATATTTTAATAACAATAAATAATATTTAACGGTTCAAATTTTAATTCCTTATTTAGAGTTTAAAATAATATTTAAAATATATTTAATTTTTACACTATTCATATTGATCTAATGAACCTTGATGAATTGAGTGCACAAATAAAAAATATTCGTAGAGATTTATATTAAAAAATTGATATTAAATTAAAATTACCTTCTTTTGAAAATATACTTTGGAAAAATATTTCTTATTTTTGTATTATTTAATGTTTTTCAATGTAATTTTACAAAAATAATTTGTGTTATCATTGAATAAACATAATGAACATTATCCTTTGACAATTAGCTCTTCAAAATAACACATTAAACCTAGGAAGGACAATAACAAAAAAGTAAAGACACAATAAGAATTTGAATCCAATCCAACTACTTGTATCTGAATTTTTTGCCATCAAAATATGCTTCATTTGTTCTTTCACATTAGCATCATACTTGCACACTTGCCATTTTCAACACTACAAGCTTGTCCAAGCCATCCAATATTCCTCACCCTTTCTCATTCTTTCTTTTCTCTGAAAGATTGAGGCATAACTTTGATCATTTTTCCAAGTGTGGGAACAAATATGAGAGACTGTTAATTTCCTTCTTTCAATTCATGTGTTCTGTGTGTTTGAGTTGTTGTTGTCGTTGTTATTGTTCCTATTGTTATTATTATCATTGGTATTAGCTTGATTTGGACTTGAAAAGGGAGAGGATTTATTTCCCATATCTTTTGTTTTGTGAAGGAGAAATGTTCCTGATAAAATTGTCACAAATCCACATAACTCAGTAGCAATCTGTGATGCATTTTGTGAGTCCCAATCCTACAGCAAAATAAATAAACAAAATCACAAAATAGATAATAATTACAATCCATTTGTAAATTTTTAGAGAGAGAATGAGAGGACATAAGATTAATTAGGCACCTTAAACATGATTATGCTGGCAAATATGGTAAATGACGTAAACATCACGTAGTAAACAGGTGATACAACTGCAGTGTTAAAGGTGTCCAAGGCCTGAAATTACATGATATTTAGATTTTAAAAACTTTAATGTTGAAATGAAATTAAACAAGTCATTGAAGATATCTATGATATTTTGAGATTACCTTGTTCAAGTAGTTAATTTGCATGAGACAACATCCCACGACAACCAAAGTAAAGAACCAAGTTTGAAAATAAGTGAATTGGTTTGTGCCTTCAAATGTAAGCTTTATAGCTATTCCCACTGCTTTCACACCCATAACCTAGATACATGCAACAAAGCTCAGGATTGCAAATTTGAGGCTCTGTGTTATAGTCTACCTTGCGCCCCTTAAAGACGGTTCTAGCCTGCGTCATGTGATAACTACATAGAAAACTATACTTTTGATTTTTTATACGAGAAAATTATAAAGAACAAACACGTGTTTTAAGATATAATTAGTACCGTAAGCGATCCAGTGAGAGAGCATATTCCGATATATACAACAAGATGTCTTTCACCATATCTTGGAACACAATAGAAAATGAGGACACAGACTAAAATCACAGTTGCACAAGTATACATAATGAAACCTGCAAATGATTAAGGGGTAAAATCAACTAAAATTTTTAATTATCTTTATTAACCATATATATATATACATAAATGTTGATTAAAAATACCTGGTTCTGTAGCAAGATGCCACACTTCTTTAACAGAGTGAATAATTCTTTCATGTGGAGCATGTAAAACAATAGTTGTAGATCCCACCATACAAAGAGCACATCCAAGCACACCAAATATGTGCAATTTTTCTTCCAATATAAAATGAGCTAGTATTGCACTACACCATCATATTTGTGTCAAAGAAAAAATTCATGTTTCAAACAACAATGTATTATTTTATTTTTTACCTAACAATGATGCTTAAAGCTCCTAAAGGAGTCACAACCAGTGCAGGTGCAAATGCATAAGCTGCAAAATTGGCGATTTCTCCGACAATCACTGCGACCATATCCATTAGTTGTAACAAAGCATTGTAACAAAATTGCACAAACAAATAAATCAAAATTGAACGTGTGAAAATCACATACTTGAGATCATTCCGATCCACCACCAAGGTTCGTATAAATACGCGTGACCTCCGGAGGCTGATTAAAACAAACAAAAAAGGTCATTATTATTATTATTATAAAATAACACAGATCAAAGATAAATGAGTTAGAGATGAAAGATGAACTTGCATGCACTTCTTCCTGGGGTGTTGGATTTCTTTAACCCCATTTTTTTAACAATAAAGCTTGAACCAATGAAAATGCTAGAAGAAACCGCAAGAACCAATCCTGTTACATTGTCGATGGATATCCCCATACGGGAATATCACGTGAATACAATGTTTATCAATTGCAAATCTCAGACGTAGAATCCAATGTTTTTTACCTTAGCAATGTATACAAAGAAAAAGTAATCAACACAGAGGATCTTGGTGATAAAATATATAATGCATAATTATGAAATACAATATTCTGAATAATAATGGATAACATACCTTCCTTCTTGGTCCTTTACAAATTGAGTAACTTGGTAACTAAGAAACTATTACTGTGTAGTAGATCAAAAAGATAAAAAAAAATAATTGATTGAGAGTGAAAATTGAAGGTTATAGTTTGATTAGTTGATGATTGAAGAGATAGAAAAGACAAGCAATAACGAAGATGATGAGATGAGATGTTATGTAGGCGAACAAGAAACAATAACTATAACACTAATCTCAGAACTCAATGAAATATAACTGAGAAATGTTTAATATGTATATATAGATCTCATACATTATAAAGACGCACTTAAATTTAATTTATTTGTGAAAAAATGTCAATTAGATGTCCACAAATTAAAATGTTTTATATATAAGTACCTTTTGTAATAACCATAAATAATGTTGTGTTTGTCTACTTGTACTAGCATGTTTTCAAAATGATAATAATAAAATCTCTCATAAAAAAGTGGGATAAATAATTTAGGTTAATATCTTAATCATGAATTATATATGTAATTTTCTTGCATTGTGATTTATTTTTGTTATTAAGCATATTTATTAAATAGATCACACTCAAAATGCAATTTAAATATTTATATTTTATAAAAATATAATAAATTATTTTTAATCTTTTCTGTTTCAAATATATTTTTTTTATTATTTATTATTTATTTAAAATATTTTTACAACAAAACTCACACAATTAATTAAGTATTTGTGGCCTGGGCCCCAGCTTGACCGGGTAGGCCCAGCCTAATCATATTCTGTCAAGCCCAATTCAGCTTGGGCCACAGCCGTCGAGCATAGAGTTTCCGCCGGACAGGCAATGTCCCTTCGCGGGTAGAACCTTCTCTCTTGTTGAGCAGAACAACGTATCCTTCACACGTTCTCCACGTGCTCCCCTCCGCGGGGACACGTCACCAACCAACTGCCCACCTCCGAAAGAGCAGGTCAAACCCACTTTCCGAAGATCACGGGACAGTTGAGTTAAGGCGAAGACCACGTTCTGGTCTACACTACGCCACGTAAGTCCTAGCAGTCGCTTGGGTTGGGCCTGACCTCCAACCCAAATCAAATGACCGTTGGCCCTGCGCTGGAGTCTCTCTATAAATACCCTCTTTCACAAGGGGGTCAGTTACTCTCTTCTTATCCTTTTTTCTGTATTTGCTGTCACTCTGTCCAAACTCTTACTTTGGCATCGGAGTGTCTTGCAGGTACACCCTCCATCTTCTTTTCAACACCAGTGAACAGGCAACAGGTTAACGGCGTGTGGTAAGTCTTTGATCCTCTTCTAATCAGGTCAGATCAGTACTGATATGTGAAAAAATACAAGTTTTAATCCAACAAGTATATATTCATATAGATTTTAATTATGATCTAAATTCTTATTATAAGGCTTTTTATTATTACTTTTAATTACACAAATTTATCATTATTTTAGATTCTTACACAAATTTACCAATATGTGAAATTTCTACACAAAATTAATAGAAAAATATTAAAATTCTTTGGTTCTAATCATTTGTTAAAGATGTAGGAATTTTAGGATAAAATTATCTTGATAAATAAATATAGTGGTGAGGAAATGGTGGTATAAATATATGGTTATACTACCATTGTAACATATAAAAGGGTTTTCAAGAATATAGTATTTTGTTTGAAAAATACAACAAGAAAAACAAAATTCAAGAGAATAATATGTGACGCAAGACAACAAGGTTTAGAGGATGAAATAATTACCGAAAAGCCAAGCACTACTCAAGCTTAACCATTAACCCAATTGTCTAAATTTGATTTTTTAAACTGAAATATAAGATCGAATAACTTACTCAAGTTTTTTCCTATAGCTTAGCTTAAGTTATTTCTTACACTTGAACTTAATTCATATGTATATATGCAATACAACCTTATTGGCCATTTAACTTCATGTATTCTCAATTGTGTCTCAAGTCTTAAGTTGTCTTTTGTTTTATCCAATATCGTAGTTTTGATTGCTTAAAAGTAAGAGCTTTTAGATGTCTTTCAATAGATATATTTTATATAGTAAAAGTCATTTACATTAAGGGTGACAAATAGGCATGTCCGTTCCGTTTAGATCCGTTCTACAAAAGCTTAAAAACAATGAGGCGGGGTGGACATAGTTGAGGATGCGGACCTAAAATCTAGACTCGTCCCGCAAAAAAAGTGACGGACGGGTGGAGAAAACTTGCGGACACCGCACCTTTTAAGCCTAAAAACACAAAAGTTTATGTAAATGCTCATGCCCGCAAAAGTCTGTGAAAAAACTGGGAGGGGCGGGGCAGACTCATTAGAGGGTGAGAGCCTAAACCCTTTGTCTGTCCCGCACTAAAGTGCAGGAAAAGTGGGCATGCCCAACGGGACGAACCCGTTTTGCTACCCCTAATTTACACATTATCTTTTCTCATGTACGAGGTCATTCTCCTTCCTTTTTAATTAATGAATTTTTTTATTAAGTTGCTTTTATGGATTATTATTCAAAATATGGGTGGTTGTATAACATAAGGAAGGTATGTTGCCCTCAATCACTTGTTGATTAGTTAAGCATTTGATTTCTACGTGTTTTATGGATTCTAGTGAAATTGTACGTTTTGAGTCTAACCCTTGTAGCGTAAAGAAGTACTTTAGTGAGTGTTTTTAATTCTATGTTCCAAGTTCAGATATATGTTGGTCAATGTTGTTGTTTTTGAAGATGGGATGTATTTAAAGATAAACACACGAAAATTGGCTTCAATGGTCAACTCTCCCATAGTATTTGGAAAGGTTCCTAGCAACCTTATGGACTACGTGAAAGAAACACCTTCCCTGTCAAAGTGTCAAAGTTCAAATCTTCGTCTCAATCACCTACTCATTTTTAAAGGAAGAGAAAGAAGAATGTTATTGTGGCTTATTGAAATTGCTCCTAGAATGTCCTTATCTCTTTAGGTTATTTTATTGTGTGTCCTTGTGTTTATTATTTTAGTAAGTGAGTCGCTTACAATAAAAACACTTTCACATCTTATAACATTGGTTATTTTTTGTTTTGGAGTGGGCCCATACCTGCCCATCCGTCGGGCAGGCCCAGCCCAACGTTGTATGGGGAAGGCCCAACAAGGCCTAAATCCCCCAACGCCAGGCACTATTCTAGACACGCCGGGCAGACATCTTTTCCGTCGAGCAGAACAACATGTCTTCTCCACATGCTCCCCCTGCGGGGGCACGTCATCAGACAACTACCCACCTCCGAAAGAGCTGGTAAGCCAACCTTCCGGAGATCACGGGACAGTTACACTAGGGCGAAGGCCACGTGCTGGTCTTCACTACGCACGTAAGCCCTAGCAGTTGCTTGGGTTGGGCCTGGCAATCCAGCCTAACACAAGTGACAGTTGGCCCTGCGTTGGGGTCTCACTATAAATACCCTATTTCACTAGAGGGTCAGGTATTCATTCTCTACACCTAACTTCTGTATTTTTCCCCACTTTGGTCCCTTACTCACTTAAGCATCGGAGTGTCTTGCAGGTACACCTCTCTCCTCCTCTCTACCTCCGGTGAGCAGCTTTCAGATCAGTGACGCGTGGCAGTCGGCAATCTCTTCTTATCGGGTACGATCAGTGACGTCATCTGTGGGAACTCAAAGCTTCTCTGTTCCTCCGAGCAGAAGAACCAAAACTTCCAACTTCAATTTTCGAGATTATGACCAGCCCACGCAATGACGATGTTGTCCACAATTACGCTTTCGCCCCACTCACCAACGACGATGAACAGGTTGGGCCCTCCCACACCCGTGATGGTAATGTGAGGGACGGTCGGACTACCTCCGCTTCGTTCGAGGACGCGGCACACCATGTCGCCTCTCCGACAAGAAGCCCGACTATTTTCCAGCCCGTCCCCACACCAGCAGGGGCGGACCCAACGATGACTGCCCTATTCGCAGCCATCAACCAGACTAATTTGATGTTGTTCCAGCAGAACGAGCGTATCGGGATACTATAACAGGATACCTCATCTCACTCTCCCCCCGCGGAGAAACCAACGCGAGGACTCTCGGAGCCCCTCTCCCCGTCAACGGGGGCGTCAGCCACAATTGAAGAGGTCGCAACCCGTGGCCTCTAAGAAACGCGATCGATCACCTCCCCGCCAGAAGAGGCGCTTCTCGTCCCCAAGAAGAAACAAACCTGAGGCCCCGAGCAAGGGGTTGTAATTAAGCCCCTTGGCACAATCCTTCGCCCTCGTGCTCCCCTGTCTGCAGTGACGAGGACAACCATAGGACCCCCCTATCGCGGGAAATCATGGAGACCCCCATTCCCCATGAAATGGAGAAGCCGCTTGCGCTATCTACCTATGACGACACTTCGGATCTAAACGACTATCTGGAAGATATCGAGGCCATGCTCGATTATCGGAATGTCTGGGGAGCCATCAAGTGCAGGCTCTTCCTGACGACACTGAGGAAGGGAGTCATGGCCTGGTACAAAAAGCCTGGAGCCCGAGTCCATCACGTCGTGGAGGGTCCTGAATGATCTCTTCTCGCAACATTTCATGGCGTCCTGACGCCATTCGAAGATGGAGGCCTCCCTGGGCGCGATCATCCAAGCCCAGGACGAACCTCTCAAGAACTACATCGAGAGATTCACGAGGGAGGCGGTCCAGGTGACGACTTCAGACGACATGAAACATTACCTCATGAAGCAATGCCTGTGTCGCGGCTCTAAATTCTACGAGGCCGTGGCAATCCATCGGCTAACCACCCTAGGAAGCTTCCGGTACGAGGAGACCGAAGCTGCTAATTCAGCCCGAGTTTCCCGTAACCGTGAAGCCCCCCGCGGAGCCCGGGAAG